GGGATTTTAGCTCCCAGTGAAAGCACAGAGAATGAGAGGACGCCACACTTTCAGACTAATTTTTGTTGCTCACAGACCAGGAGATTCCCAACGGAGGAGCCCCACGGGTCGCCAGCGCGACTCTTGTGGCCGGCATAGCGGTTCTTGGTGCAGAGTCAGAAAAGCACCATCAATCTTAACGCCAGTGTTTTAGCTGGCGCAGTGGGTTGCTCAGATTCCAGCGCTGGGAATCAACAAGTTGGACGTCCATTCAGAAACCTAATTAGAAAGTCGGTAATTACAAAGACGACAGATGGATAAATTTATAGCGAAGGAAAGAAACCAGCCTAAGGCTGAGAATACCCAAAATCAGAACACCACTCCCTCTGCAGGGGATCACAGTTCCTCAACAGCAACGGAACAAGGCTTGATGGAGTGTGTTCCATTAGCAGAAGTAGGCTTCAAAAGGTGATTGATAAGAAACTGCTGTGAGTTAAAAGAACTTGTTCTAAACCAATGCAAAGAAACTAAGAACTTTGAAGAAAGGTTTGACGAAATGCTAACGAAAATAGACAAGTTAGAGAGGAATATAAGTGAATTAATGGAGCTGAAAAACACAACATGAGAACTTTGCGAAGTATGCCCAAGTTTTAACAGCCGAATTGATCAAGCAGAAGAAAGGATATCAGAGGTTGAAGACCAACTTAATGAAATAAAACGAGAAGACAAGATTAGAGAAAAAAGGATAAAAAGGAATGAGCAAAGTCTTCAAGAAATATGGGACTATGTGAAAAGACCTAATCTACGTTTGATAGGTGTACCTGAATGTGATGAAGAGAATGAATCCAAGCTGGAAAATACTCTTCAGGATATTATTCAGGAAAACTTTCTCAACCTGGCAAGGCAGGACAATATTCAACTCCAGGTAATACAGAGAACACCACAAAGATATTCCTCAAGAAGACCAACCTCAAGGCACATAATTGTCAGATTCACCAGGTTGAAATGAGGAGAAAATACTAAGGGCAGCCAGAGAGAAAGGTCAGGTTACCTACAAAGGGAAGCCTATCAGACTCACAGCAGATCTCTCAGCAGAAACCCTACAAGCCAAAAGAGAGTGGGGGCTCATATTCAACATCCTTAAAGAAAAGAACTTTCAACCCAGAATTTCATATCCAGCCAAACTAAGCTTCATAAGCAAAGGAAAAATAAAATCTTTTATAAACAAGCAAGTATTCAGAGATTTCATCACCACCGGGCCTGCTTTACAAGAGCTTCTGAAAGAACCACTACACGTAGAAAGGAAAAACCAGTATCAGCCTTTCCAAAAATATACCAAAAAGTAAAGAGCATCAACATAATAAAGAATTTACATCGCCGGGCGCGGTGGCTCAAGCCTGTAATCCCAGCACTTTGGGAGGCCGAGGCGGGTGGATCACAAGGTCAAGAGATCGAGACCATCCTGGTCAACATGGTGAAACCCTATCTCTACTAAAAATACAAAAAATTAGCTGGGCATGGTGGCGCATGCCTGTAATCCCAGCTACTCAGGAGGCTGAGGCAGGAGAATTGCCTGAACCCAGGAGGCGGAGGTTGCGGTGAGCCGAGATCGTGCCATTGCACTCCAGCCTGGGTAACAAGAGCGAAACGCCGTCTCAAAAAAAAAAAAAAAAAAATTTACATCAACTAATGGGCAAAACAGCCAGCTAACATCAAATGGCAGTATTAAACTCAATATATTATTATTAATCCTAAATTTAAATCGACTAAATCCCCCAATCAAAAGACACAGCCAAAACCCATAGGTATGCTGCATCCAGACTCATCTCATATGCAAGGATACACAAAGACTCAAAGGGATGGAGAAAGATTTACCAACCAAATTGAGAGCAAAAATAAATAAATAAATAAAAAGCAGGAGTTGCAATTCTCGCCTCTGATAAAATAGACTTTAAAGCAACAAAGATGAAAAGAGGCAAAGAAGGACATTACATAACGGTAAAAGGATCAATGCAACAAGAAGAGCTAATGATCCTAAATATATACGCACCCAATACAGGAACACCCAGATATATAAAACTTATAAAGAGACTTAAACTCCCACGCAATAATAGTGGGAGACTTCAACATCAATATTAGACAGATCAATGAGACAGAAAATTAACAAGGATACCCAGGACTTGAACTCAGATCTGGAACAAGTAAACTTAATAAACATTTATAGAACTGTCCGCTTTAAATACACAAAATATACACTCTTATCAGCACCACATCACACTTACAGGTTTAAATGAAATATTGGTTGGCTGCTTGTTTGTTATTTTCTTCCCTCATTTTTTTCCTGTCTCCATTATTAAGCACAATTAATGGTATAAAAGAAGTTTTCAATACCCATTTTTAGACTGCGTTCTAGCCTGGGCAATAAAGCAACACTTCCATTCTGTCTCCCTCTTCCTCTTACTCTTTCTTCCTCTCCTTCGTTCCGTTTTTTTCTTTTTCTTTCTTTAAAAAAAAATAAGAGAACTCTCAAAAAAAAAAATACTATTTTACTGGATCCTGGCTGGGCGTGGTGTCTCACACCTGTAATCCCAGCACTTTGGGAGGCCGAGGCTAGTGGATCATGAGGTCAGGAGTTCAAGACCAGCCTGGCCAGCAGGGTGAAACCCCATCTCTGCTAAAAATACAAAAATTAGCCAGACGTGGTGGTGCACCCAGCTACTGTAATCCCAGCTACTCTGGAGGCTGAGACAAGAAAATCGCTTGAACCTGGGAGGTAGAGGTTGCAATGAGCTGAGATCGCACCGCTGTACTCTAGCCTGGGCAACAGAGCAAGATTCCATCTCGGGGGAAAAAAATAAACTATTTTAATTGGATCCTGAACCTTTTTATTATTTTAACTTGACACATCTGAGCTCGTTTTCATTGTGCCTGAATAATGAACATTTATTTTACTGTGGATCTGCTCGTGATTATTTCAGTCCTAGCTGCACCATTTAATAAACCCGCCACCATTTCACAGACCCTAGTCAGTGAAACATTCCTTGGGGACTCCAGCTGTGAGAAACATCCTGCCCAAGTGCCTGACTGCAGGAACAGCCTTATCACATCCTGCCAGGCAGCAAGCCATACTGTCCAGACCCTCCAGCCCAGACCTGTAATTGCCCCAGCCTGTAAGCAGCAGTGGGCTCTGGCACTAAGCTGGTTCCCCACCCCACAGGGTTTTGCTGGCAATAAACCTGTGTTGCTGTTGAAGCCACCAACACTCACTCTCTCTCTTTCTCTCTCTCTCTCTCTCTCTCTCTCTCTCTCTCTCTCTCTTTCGCTCTCTTGCTCTTTGTGTGTTTGTCTCTTTGTCTGTCTTTAACCTTCGCCTTCCCTTCAAAACCTAACAATTTCCTCTTTTTTTTTTTCTTTAGTGATGGGATCAATATGTTGCCCAGGCTGGTCACGAAATGCTGGGCTCAAGCAGTCCTCCCAAAGTGTTGGGATTGCAAGGGTGAGACACCATGCCCAGCATGATTTCCTCATTCATAGTTTGTCCTAAACTATAGTTTACCTTCTTTTCTGAATGCCAGTCTCCTTGTGTATACAATTCTTGATTGGCAGTTATTTTCTTTGAGATTTTATCTTTATCTTTTTATTGTGAGATTTCAAAGTATTGATTTATTTTTATTTATCTGCCTGCTTGGTTTCTGGAAGGCTTTTGGAATCTTTGGCATGATGTTTTTCTCATCACTTTTGGAAAGTTCTCAGCCATTAGTTCTTCAAATATTTCTTCCCCACCTCTTTCATTTCCTTCTAAGACACCAGTTACCTATATGATGGCGTTTCCTGCTGTATCCTCTTATTTTCTGAATGGCTTCTTCTATCTTGCAGCTCAGTAATTCTTCAACTGCCTAATCTGCCAAACTCATTTAATTTTTTTGTTTTGTTTGATTGAAACAGAATCTCACTCTGTCACCCAAGCTGGAATACAGTGGCACCATCTCGGCTCACTACAACCTCTGCCTCCCAGGTTCAAGCGATTCTCCTGCCCCAGTCTCCCAAGTAGTTAGGATTACAGGTGCCCGCCACCATGCCTGGCTAATTTTTGTATTTTTAGTAGAGATGCGCTTTCACCATCTTGGTCAGGCTGGTCTCAAACCTATGACCTCAGGTGATCTGCCCACTAAATTGTTTTATGATTTCTAGTTCTCTACTGGAAAATATTTCTGAAAAAAAATTTTTTCTTTTTTTTTTTTTTAAAGACTGTTAAGTCGTGTCTGGAGCCCCTGTGGAAGTTTTATATTATCTGTTGAGAAGAATATGCACATAATACAGATATAAAAATATGCAGAGCAGGCCAGGCGCGGTGGTTCACGTCTGTTATCCCAGCACTTTGGGAGGCTGAGGCAGGTGGATCACCTGAGGTCAGGAGTTCAAAACCAGCTTGGCCAACATGGTGAAACCCCGTTTCTACTAACAATACAAAAATTAGCCCAGTGTGGTGACGGACACCTGTAATCCCAGCTATTCAGGAGGCTGAGAGATGAGAATCGCTTGAACCCAGGAGGCAGAGGTTGCAGTGAGCTGAGATCACGCCACTGCGCTGCAGCCTGGACGACAGAGTGAGATTCCATCTCAAAATGTGTGTGTGTGTGTGTGTGTGTGTGTGTGTGTGTGTGTGTGTGTTTGTATGTGTGTATATATATTATACATGCAGAGCCAAATAACAATACAAAGGATCAAAACACACCACTAAAATGGGAGACTTGACTTACTTTAACATAACAGTCAAAAAGGTCTCTTTTCTTAGGCTAACCAGCCCTCTCGGTTTGTCTAGAACTTTCCCGGTTTCCGCGTTGAAAGTCCCACGTCCCAGGAAACCCATCAGTCGTGGCAAGATGTGGAGGGTTAGCCACCCTGCGTGACACACGCGGCAATCCACGCACCCTCTCCCCGTCCCTTCTTGCCTGCGGCACCAGGGCGACCGCCGGGGGCGCTGTGCCGCACCGCCGCGGCCGGGGGAGGCACTCTGGCCTTGCCGCGTCGCTGCTGCTTCCGCCTTCCCGGCAGCCCCTGCTCGGCGACCTTTCTCCGTTGGGTGCGGGTTTGTGGTTCCCCCTGAGCTGTCATTCCGGCGCCAAGGTGAGTGCGGAGACCTGGCCAGGCCTCCGAGGTGCGAGACGGCGGGGACGGGAGGGCGAGGATCCCACGCCAGCCTTTCCGCCCTGCCTCCCCTTCTCTAACGGGAGGTAGGCCTGGGTCGGCTGCCGAAGGAAAGCGTCGCCTAGGCCCGCGCCGCGCTTCCCTCCTTGGCCTTAGCGCGCTGGGTGCACCTGTGTTCTCGCCTGCTTTTGATAGCGTACCCTGGCCTTGCCGGGTTCAGCTGCCCAACCTAGAGGCGACGCAGACGGAGTTAGAGAAGCCAGAGTCCAGGCCAAGAACTCGGACGCCACGTCCAGTGCCTTCTCTCCTTTATATCTCAGGTTTCCTCCAACCACGCTTGTCCTCCACGTTATGCTCTAGGCGAGAAGGACTTGCGTGAGGCGGCAGGGAAACAAACGAGATCATATGGGGATGGTTGAAACCTTATGGAACTCGCGGGTCCAACGTTTCCCGTTTTCAGTGTAAGGTCAGGTAATAGTTTGCCCTTAATGTCATGTGCCAGAACTTTGCAGGTATAAATGGATACAGTAGACACCCGTTTGACCTATGAATAGGATGGAGTTTTAAAAGATCTGATGCTGTAAAACTGACACAGCTAGGAAATATGCCTGGACAGAATGGACTCAGGTGGAGACAGGCGGGGCCCTCCTTTTATTACATATTGGGAACATGTCACTTGTCCAGGCAAATATGGCAACCAAATTCAAAGGGAAGGAGGAGGAAAGGTAGTTGCAAGCTACTATATAGCAGGGCCCCCGTTGTCTTGGGGACCAAGGGTAATTTTGTAAGGAGACCATACCAGGGTGCCTGGGCCCTGAGCAAAATGTCAGGATGACTCAGTTTCTTTAGTCCCTTCTGTTTTTTTTTTTTTTTTTTTTTTTTTTTTTTGAGACGGAGTCTTGCTTTGTCACCAGGCGGGAGTGCAGTGGCACAATCTTGGCTCACTGCAACCTCCGCATCCCTGGTTCAAGCGATTCCCCTGCCTCAGCCTCCCGAGTAGCTGGGACTACAGTCTCGCGCCAGCATGCTAATTTTTTTGTATATTAGTAGAGACGGGGTTTCACCATGGCCGGAATGGTCTCCATCTCCTGACCTCGTGATCCGCCCTCCTCGGCCTCCCAAAGTGCCTGGCATTACAGGCGTGAACCACCGTGCCTGGCCAACTTTTTTTTTTTTTTTCTTTGAGAGGGCATCTCGATCTGTTGCCAGGCTGCAATGCAATGTCACGATCTCAGCTCACTGCGGCCTCCGCCTCCCGGGTTCAAGTGATTCTCCTGTCTCAGCCTCCCGAGTAGCTGGGATTACAGGTACACACCACCACGCCCAGCTAATTTTTATATTTTTAGTAGAGGTAGAGTTTCACCATGTTGGCCAGGGTCGTCTTGATCTCTCAACCTGGTGATCCGCCCACCTCGGCCTCCCAAAGTGCTGGGATTACAGGCATGAGCCACCGCAGCTGGCCCATTCTCTGAATTTTTAGTCCATACTAGGCACTAGGCTGGGTTCATTAGGTTCCTCCTTGAATTGCATTAAGAGCCCTGTGGAGGTATGTGGAAGTATCCATGTTTCACAGAACAGGAAACCTCCGAAATAGCGGCGAAAGGGACTTGCCCACAGTTGAGAGCTGAGCAGGCAGAGCTGATGTTGGAGCCCAGGATTCCCAAGCTTCCAAACCCTTTGGTCCTGTACAATGCTTCCTTCCTAGTCGTTGCTGAGAGACGAGGGATTGACTCCATGCCTCTGAACTCTTCTAGTGTGGGGCCTCCAGAAACCTCCTCTGGGTTTTGTTTGGATCATCTGTGGCACATTCCCAAAGCAGGGCTCTTGGTTTCTTGGAACCTCACACTTTGTCAGAGCATTCGAGTACAGTTTAAGGACAGGAAATTTGAGGACGGACGTATCTGCAAGGTGTTCCAGGAGAAAGACACAGTCACATCCTGCAAGGTCACACCTTGGACCAGCCTTCACCACTATCCTTGCCTAAATAAGTCCGCTCATAGGGAAGGGCAGGAAAGTGGTGTTAGAAGCAGGTCCTCGTCATCGGAGCATGGCATACAGATTCGGTGTGAGCAGTCCTGCCAACCTCCTGCGGGATCGTGGGCAGCTTTCTCCTCAAGTGCCCACTTTATAGGGGTGGGAAGCAGTGTAGGAAATAAGTATGTAGAGCACTTTAAAATGCTGTTAAAGAGCCAGGCACAGTAGCTCATGCCTGTAATCCCAGCATTTTGAGAGACCGAGGCAGGCAGATCATCTGAGGTTGAGAGTTCGAGACCAGCCTGACTAACATGAAGAAACCCCATCTCTACTAAAAATACAAAATTAGCCAGGCATGGTGGCACATGCCTGTAATCCCAGCTACTCAGGAGGCTGAAGCAGGAGAATTCCTTGAACCCAGGAGGCAGAGGTTGCATTGAGCCCAGATTGCACCATTGCACTCCAGCCTGGGCAACAAGAGTGAAACTCTGTCTTTTAAAAAAAAAAAGGCCAGGCGGGGTGGCTCATGCCTGTAATCCCAGTACTTTGGAAGGCCGAGGTGAGTGGATCGCCTGAGGTCAGGAGTTCGTGACTAGCCTGACCAACATAGTAAAACCCCATCTCTACTAAAAATACAAAAAATTAGCTAGGTGTGGTGGTGGGCACCTGTAATCCCAGCTACTTGGGAGGCTGAGGCAGGAGAATCACTTGAACCCCAGAGGCGGAGGAGGTTGCAGTGAGCCGAGATCATGCTCTTGCACTCCAGCCTGGGCAACAAGAACAAGACTCCCTCTCAAAAAAGGTGCGAGTCCTGTGTGTGAGTGTAGAACAGACCTGGCGCAGGCAGGGCTCCCTGCTGGGTAACCATGGGAAATAGGGTTGAACTTAACAAATTAAAATCTGTTTCCAGTTCACTTTAGAACAATAATCATTTTAATTTCTAATCCCTGTATTCATTTTCAGATGTTTGAAAATTTTATTAAAAATATGTGGCTTCCCTTGAAACCCTACTATACCCAAGTTTACCAGGAGATTTGGGTCGGAATGGGGGTGATGGGCTTCATCGTTTATAAACTCCATGCCGCCGGTACGTTTCTTTATGTTTGATGTTTTTTTTGAAGTCAGGAGGAAAAGTATTTTCAAAAAGAATTGCAATTCACATTGTAAAGGGAACTGTGGGTCTTAACTAAGTATGAACATCAGAACTACCTGCAGCTCCTTTGTGAAAACACAGGGAGCACATGTTGGCTGTAATAGACTTTTGGGGACAATGGGAATATTTTTACCTCTTTTTCTTTGTTTTTTTCTTTGAAACAGAGTCTCCAGTGCCCAGGCTGGAATGCAGTGGCACAGTCATGGCTCACTGCAACCTCAACCTCCTGGACTCAGGTGGTTCTCCCACCTCAGCCTCCCAGCTATTTGGGACCACAGGCACCTGTCACTGCCTTACACCACCACACCTGGCAAACTGTTTTTGTACTTTTTTTTTTTTTTTTTTTTGTAGAGATGGGGTTTTGCCATGTTGCCCAGGCTGGTCTCAAGCAATCCTCCAGTCTTGGCTTCCCAAAGTGCTGGAATTACAAGCATTGAGTCACAACACCTGGGCCAATTGGGGAACTTTGAACAAGACTTTAATAACAGAGCATTGTTAGTTTTCTTAGGTGTGAAAGTGGTATTACATTCATTTTAAGAGATGAAGGCTTAAATATTTAAGGTATGGTTTCATGGTTTGTGGTATTTCATTGCACCCTTTCAACTGTTCTGAATATTTGAAATTTGTAATAAAATTTAGAATGGGGAGGAATAACCACTTGGTGCTCAGTAGAACAGAGCAGTGTGGCCCAGTCACATGTTAACTAAGCCATTGATTACAAAGACAAAAGAAAGAAAACTTTATGCTGCAAGACTGGAGTTCAGGACATTGCAGAGGGTAAGGAGCCCTGCAACTTTGAAAGGGCTCTTAGCTGTTCATAGAACATCTTTGGTAGGAATTTTATCATTTCTTGGCTATGAGACATACTTTCTGAAAGCTTCCTATAATTGCTTTACTTAAGCTATGATGCCTTCAGCTAAATGTTAATTTTGACAAAGGTATTTTTGTGAAGCATTGATATGACTGATTTTTTTCCTTCCTTTTATTTTAGATAAAAGAAAAAAGGCTGAGAAAGGTAAGTTTTGCTGCTTAAAATGGTTGGGAATGGAAAACCCCATGTCTTTTCAGGACAAGGTGTATCATTGTTCTGAATTGAAATTGATACATGGGGCTGGGCGCGGTGGCTCAAGCCTGTAATCTCAGCACTTTGCGAGGCCAAGGCGGGTGGATCACGAGGTCAAGAGATCGAGACCATCCTGGTCAACATTGTGAAACCCGTCTCTACTAAAAATACAAAAAATTAGCTGGGCATGGTGGCGTGTGCCTGTAATCCCAGCTACTCAGGAGGCTGAGGCAGGAGAATTGCCTGAACCCAGGAGGCGGAGGTTGCGGTGAGCCGAGATCGCGCCATTGCACTCCAGCCTGGGTAACAAGAGTGAAACTCCGTCTCAAAAAAAAAAAAAAAAAGAAAAGAAATTGATACATGGTTCAGTAAACATGTAAGATGCAGTCAAAATGCTTCACAACTTGAAGTTTGCTATGCATGCTGGAAAAGAGAATTCTGAATTTCTGCTTTTTTTTTTTTTTTTTTTTTTTTTTTTTTTTTTTTGCTTGTTTTAATGCCTGAAGGATAAGAATTTCTGTTTTTTATAGTCAGGTGGATCAAGTAAAACTTCCAGGAGTAATAGAGGAATGGATTGTTAACTAGAGGTAGTCAGCATCACCAGCAGGGAAGCACAAGTGAGCCATGCAAGCGTGCTGTCCTAGAAGTTGCCTCCTTCACTGCAACCTCCACCTTCCGGGTTCAAGCAATTCTCCTGCCTCAGCCTCCCAAGTAGCTGGGATTACAGGCATCTACCACCATACCCGGCTAATTTTTGTATTTTTAATTGAGATGGGGTTTCACCATGTTGGCCAGGCTGGTCTGAAACTCCTGACTTCAGGTGATCACCTTGGCCTCCCATAGTACTGGGATTACAGGCATGAGCCACGGCACCTGGCCTTTAATGTATTTTGAAAGAAAGCATCTTAGAAATTTATGCCCTAGTGCCAATGAAACTGTAGCCATTTGAGTGTTGCACAAACCCAGGACTGGCTACGTGAGCTTCAGGAAGAGGTGTTTCCCTGCCCTGTCTTCTTAGTGCTGTGGTGGCTGCCAGCCTGCTGTCATTACGTGAACCCTTAAGCACACTGGGTGTTACATATAGAAATAATCTACTTTTTTTTTTTTTTTTTTTTTTTTGAGACAGTTTCCCTCTTGTTACCCAGGCTGAAGTGCAATGGCGCGATCTCGGCTCACCGCAACCTCCGCCTCCTGGGTTCAGGCAATTCTCCTGCCTCAGCCTCCTGAGTGGCTGGGATTACAGGCACACGCCACCATGCCCAGCTAATTTTTTTTTAGTATTTTTAGTAGAGACGGGGTTTCACTATGTTGACCAGGACGGTCTCGATCTCTCAACCTCGTGATCCACCCGCCTCAGCCTCCCAAAGTGCTGGGATTACAGGCTTGAGCCACCGCGCCCAGCCAATCCTACTTTTTAATACTATTGAAAGATGTCATGTGTACTTTTGGACTGTTGATCAACTTTTTTCAATACTTGTATAATAAATTACATCCTACTTGTTCCTTCCTTCTTAAATTGTATTTATGTATGCATCTTTTTCAAAAGCTGCAGCGGCTGCTCGTGATCATCATTAACCAGCTCACTTGGAGTGCCTGTGAAAGAAAGCGTCAGTCTGCCTGTGAATTTGAGCAAGCCGTGTTAGATGGGCGTGTGGAACATCACTGTACACTTGCATGACGCTGACTTCATGGCATGATAAATAAATCTGAGATGCTCTGCTACCTGGTACTGTTTCCACTGTGTTCCCCGCTCAGCACCCCCAGTGTGTCAGGCATACTCTTTGTAGATCATTTGTCATGCAGCAGATGCAGAGTGTCGCTGAGCCAGCCATCCTTATCATTATCTCAGTTGTCATAGGAGCTGGTGATCAGGATCCTGGCACTCACTGCTCAATAAATGTGTGTTAAACTTGATCCTGCTACTTGTGACCTCTCTGAGTCTCTGTTTTCTTATTTGGAAAATGGAGATGTTAATTATGTAAGCGCTAACTTACAGTTAGGAGGATAAATAAGAGAAATTTAAACTATGAAATGTTTTAGAAATAAGGTAGCATTCAATGACATAGTTGAAATTATAAGCTCTAGGAGAAAAATGCATCAGGAAGTAATCACAAGGCAAGGTACATAATAAGGCCAGTTGAAAAAAATAAAGCTAATTGATTCTCGTTAGGCTAAAATCAAATGCATACTGCATAATATTTATCTCTGTCTAAGACAATTACCAAGATCCCTAAAATGTGCTAAAAAGATTCTAAAGCAGCAAGCATTAGATTCTAAAGCAGCAAGCATTGGGGTAAAGGTGGGTTCAGTTTTCAGTCTGGCACTCGCGGGTGGGCAGGGGAGCAGCTGTGGAATGGGGATGATGGCTGCACCCTGGGTGTTCTGTCCTCTTGAGACCATCCTGTTTCTCATCTGTGTGGCATTTGGCCTCTAGGTCTGGCCCGTGGTAGGTGCCCAGCAGATGACTAGGATCTCTCTGAGCCTCAGTGGCATTCGTAAGACCACCAAAACCTGCCGTGTCTTTCTCCGTCAGCCTCAGCATTGTTGGGCTCTGTGAGAAGTGTGCAGGAAAGCATTACACGGCATCAGTGGAAGTCCACATCGGGTCGCGTGAGATTCGGGGGGTTTGGTTCTGACACAGGAATCACATTCTTCCTGCTAACGCATTTGGTTCTCTTCTTCCTCCGGAAAACGAATCTGCTATGTTACAGAAAGGCCCTGCCTTTAAAATTATCCATCTGCCCAGCATTAGAGTCACCTGGAAGGCCAGGCTGCAGCCTGCTGGGCCCCCGTGCTTCTGATGCACTGCTCTAGGAAGGAGCCTGAGAACTTGTGTGTCTAACAGTCGTCCAGGACATGTGGATGCCAGGAGCCCCGCTGGAAAATTTCTAATAACACAAAGAGCCCAGGCCTGCCCTACCACAGCCCTTGTACCCACTGCGCCGGCCCCAGGCTCCAGCCCTGTGTCACAAGTCTTAGCACATTTAGTCCACCTTAGTGAGGCATCAGTACAGGCCTTGACCTTCAGAACAGGAAACAGGCTGAGAGGCAGAAACACGCCAAAGATGTTGCAATTAGCGAGCACTGGGGCTGGGGCTTGCACCCCAGGAGACTGCAGTCTCGTCCAGCAGGGGGTGAGGACAGGCAGGAGCAGACATTGATGTGTCTGACCCGGAAGGGCTCCCCGACAAAGGCTGGGCTGTTCCTCTTCTCCCTTTACTACTTACGGGTTCCTTCGACAAATTACCAGGGCAGGCTGGGCACAGTGACTCACGCCTGCACTTTGGGAGGCTGAGGCAGGCAGGAGCTTGAGATCAGCCTGGGCAACATGGTGAAACCCCATCTCTATAAAAAAAAAAAAATTAGCCACACAGGGTGGTGTGCACCTGTAATCCAGCTACTGGGGAGGCTGATGCAGGAGGATTGCTTGAGCTTAGGAGGTCAAGACTGCACTCCAGCATGAGCAACAAAGCAAGACCCTGTCTCAAAAAGGAAAAAAAAAATTGTATTTGCTATCCCAGAACCCACTTACACACTGAATCTCTCAGGGCAGGCGTCCCCAAACTACAGCCCACAGGCCACATGCGGCCCCCTGTGGCTATTTATCCAGTCCCCCGCCGCACTTCAGAAAGGGGCACCTCTTTCATTGGTGGTCAGTGAGAGGAGCACAGTATGTGGCGGCCCTCCAACGGTCTGAGGGACAGTGAACTGGCCCCCTGTGTAAAAAGTTTGGGGACGCCTGAGGCAGGGTTTTGGAAACAACCAGGTCTTATCCCAAAGGTAGCCTGTAGGTGGAGCCAGAGGATGTCACCTGGGCTTCCCTGTGCGTATGGAGCACGGGGCCCCAGGGACCTGCTTAAAGGAGCATTTGGGGCGCGGTGCCAGTGGGTAACAGGGATGCACGGTGAGCCCCGGGAGCGCACGGGACGGCCAGTTCAGGAAGGAATCTCAGAGGCTTTTTGTCCCAAAGCCTACACATTCTCCTCGGAATTAACGCAGTGCTTTAGAAAGTGTACTACAGAGTAGCCCCAGAGGCTGGGAGGAGAGTGTGGCTCCCGGGCAGCTGAAGGTGTCATAGTAAACCCTGTGCTCTCCTCAAGTGAGCCTCTCGGGGAGGCATGGTGTTTCTTCCTGCCTGTATATCCTGCTGTGTATCCCAGGAGTGCACACACCCCAGCCAGAGGCTTTGGAAGGTGTGCTTCCTGCCATCCGTAAGGGGGATGTGTCTCTGTTGAGGTACCAGATAAAGAGTTCCGGGATACCAGGCCGTGGTCTGCTTCATATTTATGTGCACAATATTCTGTGAGCTCATACCATCACCCCACTTCGCAGCTGAAGAAATGGAGGCCCAGACAGGATAAGTAGTTTGTATTAGAGGATAACTACCTGGTTAACAAACCAACTAGTTAACTGGTAGACCAGGGTTCAAAACCTGACCCGCTTCAGAATCAGGACAGGGACTACAGCCCGGCTTCGGACAGCTCCTTCCCCCGCGCTGGGCGTGTATCACCGTCGGGGGTGCAGTGGTGGCCAGCGCAGATCCCTTCACTGGCCGAACACAGTCTAGACAGCGGACCTACAACACACAGTGCTGAGCGTCCGTGCTGTTAGGAGCGACCCGACGGCCTCCAGCATCAGCCTCACTGCACACGGGCCCGCGGGCAAGCCCAGCATCTGCTCAACAGCCTCTGAGCACGGCCCTGGCCTCCATTCTTCAGACAAACCAGCCACCTGGAGGCATTGCTGGTACATACAGGGAAACTTGAACGTGGGCTGGGTGTTAAGTAATGTTGAATTGTTAATTTTATTAGGTGATCATCACCACAATGGTATCGTAGTTATTTTTCTTTCTTTTTTTCTTTTTTTTTTTTTTTTATAGACGGGGTTTCACCATGTTGGTCAGGCTGGTCTTGAACTCCCGACCTCAGGTGATCCAACTGCCTTGGCCTCCAGTTATTAAACAAAATGTCTTTGGTTTTAGAAATGCAGGTGCAGGCCGGGCATGGTGGCTCATGCCAGTAATCCCAGCACTTTGGGAGGCCAAGATGGGTGGATCACCTGAGGTCAGGGGTTCAAGACCAACCTGGCCAACATGGCAAAACCCTGTCTCTACTAAACATACAAAAACTAACCGGGCGTGGTGGCATACACCTGTAATGTCAGCTACTCAGGAGGCTGAAGCATGAGAACCGCTTGAACCCAGGAGGCAGAGGGTTGCGGTGAGCTGAGATCACACTATTGCACTCTAGTCTGGGCAACAGAGAGAGACTCCATCTCAAAGAAAGAAAACAAAAGTCGAATAATGAAAAAACCAAATTTGAGCATTTGGTATTTGGGTGTCTTAGAAGCCATCAAAAGAAGAGCCAAAAGTTTAGGCAGCTCCGAGTTCCAGGAGTGAGCCTCATCCTTGGCATGATTGTCACCAAGGGACCAGCTCACGCCAGTTAACCAATGCTGAAGTTACTAAGCTGACGCACAGCCAGAATTGCGCAGGTGTGTGCAATGGGAAATGCTTCCACCTTCTCATCCTTACCAGCAACCTGGCCAGCCAGCTACGCTGGCAGCACCTGGGACCTACTAGGAGTGCCATAAAAGCCAGACCCGCCCCCAGCTCAGGGAGGCAGAATTAAGCATTGCCTCCTGTCTCCTTGCAGTCCATTCACAATAAAGCTTTTTCTTTTGTCAAAAGCCAGTGTCCTAGTGTTGGCTTCTATGAGTGTCAGACAGAAGGTCCACTGCTGGGTAACATATCATCCTCCTGAGCTACAGTCACTGCCCTGGTAGCTCCTTCGGATTTCAGAACCAAATTACAGCAGGCAGGCAGAGTTTGATGTGACACCCTTGCTCCAGCATCCGGAGGAGGGGTGTTTCACAAAGTGGTAAAGAGTATATTTCAGAGAGGGAGTTATTCACTGCTAGCCATGTCTAACCCCGAGCAGTTCATGCACCCAAAGCAGTTCACCAAACCCCACCAACTCCAGCCTGACAGCTGAGCTCCGCGGACATCTCTGAGGAGGCTGCAGACTCCCACAGACTTCACCCTCCCTCCCCAGGAGAAAGCGGTGGCCAGCGCTGGCCTCCCTGGCACTGCTTCCACCACTGCCGCTGACACCAAATGCAAGGTGTGGGGAAGAAGGTCGGGGTCTCCGTGGTTGGCACACTTCCTGAACTCTGTGGAATGCACGCTGTGCCAGGGACAGTGTCCATCAAGAGGAAGTAAACGATGCCACTCCCACCTCAGTAAAAACTATTAATTAGGTCAGGGTGTTGGAGCTGGAATATTACAAGTGTTTGCAGAACGAATGACACTTAGGAGTGGTAAAACAGGAATACTAACATTTTAAAAATCATAATAAACCTCAAGTAAAAGGCGCACCAGAGTATCATTCTGGTTTTATTACGCCGGGTAAAAAGTGTTTCCATTAGTCGCAGTCTGTGGCGACAGTTTTACTAAGCGTTTGATATTGTGGCAATTTTTTTTTAACTGTCAAAGTAAGTAACCTTTATTTTTTTTGAGATGGAGTTTTGCTTTTGTTGCCCAGGCTGGACTGCAATAGTGTGATCTCGGCTCACTGCAGCCTCCACCACCCGGTTTCTAGTGATTCTCCTTCCTCAGCCTCCCAAGTAGCTGGGATTACAGGCATGTGCCACTACATGCGGCTAATTTTGTATTTTTAGTAGAGATGAGGTTTCACCATGTTGGTCGGGCTGGTCTCGAACTCCTGACCTCAAATAATCCACCAGCCTCGGCCTCCCAAAGTCCTGGGATTACAGGCATGAGCCACTGCACCCGGCAAACCTTTTGTTTCTTTTCTTTTCTTTTTCTTTTTTTGAGATGGAGACTTGCTCTGTAGCCCAGGCTGGAGTGCAGTGGCATGATCTCAGCTCATTGCAACCTCTGCCTCCCAGGTCCCAGTTCGAGCAATTCTCCTACCCCAGCCTCCCAAGTAGCTGGGAATACAGGCATGAGACATGCAGGCAGGCAGAGTTTGATGTGACACCCTTGCTCCAGCATCCGGAGGAGGGGTGTTGGAGGGTGTGCCCAGCTAATTTTTCTAATTTTTCGTAGAGATGGGTTTTCACCATGTTGGCTAGTCTGGTCTTGAACTCCTGACCTCGTGATCCGCCCACCTCAGCCTCACAAAGTGCTGGGATTACAGGCGTGAGCCACCATACCCAGCCCCTTTTTTTTCCCCTTTAGAGACAGAGTCTTGCTTTGCTGCCCAGGCTGGAGTGCGGTGGCACTGTCAGGGCTCACTGCAGCTGCCTCACTCTCCCAAAGTGCTGGGATTATAGGCATGAGCCAGCGCACCCCACCAGGCTGCACTCCAGCCTGGGTGACAGAGAGACTGTCTCAAAAAAAAAAAAAAAAATTCTGAACCAGGCACAGTTGCTCACATTTGTAATCCCAGCACTTTGGGAGGCCAAGGCAGGTGGATCACCTGAGGTCGAGATTTCGAGACCAGCCTGACCAGACAGTTTAGTAGAAATCCCATCTCTACTAAAAATACAAAATTAGCCAGACGTGGTGTTGCATGCCTATGATCCCGGCTACTCGGGAGGGTGACGCAGGAGAATCGCTTGAACCCGGGAGGTTGCTATGAGCCGAGATCGCGCCGTTGCACTCCAGCCTGGGCAACAAGAGCGAAACTCTGTCTCAAAAAAAAAAAAAAAAAAAAAAAAAGCTTTCTGCAAATGCCTTATTTGTGTACAGCCTGTATGTTCCTGTACCTTAGATCATTCAGACAGGTTGGATTCAGGTTCCAGCTGGAGCTACTGCTCATTGCCTGTGTGGCCTCAGGCAAACTCTGTAACTTCTCTGGGCCTCGGCTGTCTCATCTCTAAATTAAGACCTCCAGAGTCTCTCTCAGCTCTATAATTCTATAGCTAATGGATTTGTAATGAACCTAAGTTGCATCATCAAAAAATAAAGTGAACTATGAGGCAATTGTTGGATGATAGATGATAAATTGCAGATTTATGTAAAGGACATGAATTTATCTCTTGGAAACCTGATATCTAACAAACTTACAGTAGGCATTTATAGTAGGTACTCATCTCTTTTAATGAATTTAATTAAAGATGCCAATTAAAAAGTAATTTCCTAGCTCTTGGTAAAATAGAATAAGGGATATCTTTAGTGACTATTTTACCAATTACTCTATTACTAATGACAAAGAGATGAGAGAATGGTTTCTGACTCCCTGACCAGACCAGAGGGAAGGACCATGCTCAGTGCAGCTACCGTGGTCCAGGAACCAGTAGCCAAGGCAGAAATCTGATTTAGCCTGTCCTCCAGAGCTAACCAGCCTGGACAAAACGAGTCTCCCATAACCGAACTCCAAGCTACTGATGCTTAACTGACTCCACCGGGGGCACTAACAGAAATAAAACTGCTAGGTGGACCAGATATGAGACATAAGAAACTACAAAGACAAGAGCAAATTTTTCCCAAGCCAAAGATGGGAAAGAGAAGAAATTAGATGTTTCGATGGAATAATAAACAGAGAGCCAGGCACACGCATGTGCCTGTAATCCCAGACTCAGGAGGCTGAGGTAGAAAGACTGCTTGAGCTCAGGAATTCAAGACCACCCTTGGTAACATAAGAGAACGACATCTTTTTTGTTTGTTTGTTTGCTTGTTTGTTTGAGATGAGGTTTTGCTCCTGTCACCCAGGCTGGAGTGCAATGGCACCATCTTGGCTCACTGCAACCTCCACCCCCAGGTTCAAGCGATTCTCCTGCCTCTGCCTCCCAAGTAGCTGGGATTACAGGCACGTGCCACCATACCCAGCTAATTTTTTATATTTTTAGTAGAGATGGGGTTTCATCATGTAGCCAGGATGTCCCCTGGGGTCTCAGCACGCCTCACAGATCCTCCTGGAAGGGGTGCTACAGGTCTCCAAGCACTTACCCTGGGCTGCGCCTTCAAGTCTGGCAGAGAGCTTTACTAAAATACAGCGTTCTGGGCCCAGCCCTGCAAACCGACCCAGCCCAGGCCAGCCGTGGAAGTGGAGGGGTCCTACTCCACAGAGTGGGAGTATGCAAACATCCCGAGTGACACAGAGACAAGGCCTGTCCGCCCGGGTGCCACTGAGCCACCAAGCGTGGTGGCCTCTGAGTGGGATGGGAATAAGGTGGCCAGGTGGAGCCCAACCCTGGGGAAACCAGGCCAAGACGCTGTGCCAGGCTTGGCACCAGGGACACACCCTCACCTCACCCTGAGTGCCTCCCCACCCCCACCCTGGGGGCGCCCTGACCTCCATGAGACTCATGCGGTGGACCGGAGGTGGGTCAGCTGAGGCGGCCGAATTTCGGGAGAATGGGGAATGGCCCGAGACCTGGCAGATGCCCTCAGTGTGGGGCCTTTGGGTGATTTCTGGCCCACAGACAGGCCAGTACCGAGTCAGAAGGAAACCGCGCTTGGGGAGGCCAGAGGCCACTTCCGGGTGCTCCTCCGTCTCCTCGGGAAGCTGCCCTAATTAGCACCTTAACCACAGACACTTCATGGGAAGCTCAGCAGGTTGCATCCTCTGCCCACCCAGTGGCCTGGCCTTTCCCGCACATGCCTGGTCATCTAAGTCCTAGAGGGTGGACACACAGCCCCATGCTGGTGCGATGGTAAAGACTGATGATCTCCCATGGAGGTGTGGGGGGCAGGGCCCACCCCTGGGCCCACTAGGCATGAAGGGGCTTCCACCTGTCCTCAAGAGCAGCGCTGGCCTAGTCACCTCCAGCCCCACACACCTACCCAACCCAGGCCAGCCAAGGAGGTGGGGAGCCAGGGGCCTGGAGGAGGATGTGTGAGGCTGGCCAGTGCCTGGGTGATTACTCCAAGTCCCCGGAGCACTCATTGTCACTCAGTGGCCGCACTGCATCCAGAATCCACAGGCTTCCCAAAGACCCTGGTGCCCCCGCCCCCTCCACATGGGCTTTGGCTTTCGTCCCCGGGCCTGCCATGCCTCGCCCATGCCCCACACTGGCTCATCAGGCCTCTCCCCTCAGCCCTCCCAGACCCTGGCCCTCACCGTGGGTGGCAACCTTTGACAAGTCGCACAACATCATCTTTTTTTTTTTTTTTTTTTTTTTGAGATAGAGTCTCGCTCTGTAGCCCAGGCTGGAGTGCAGTGGCACGATCTCGGCTCACTGCAACCTCCGCCTCCCGGGTCCTGGTTCAAGCAATTCTCCTACGTCAGCCTCCCAAGTAGCTGACGTATTTTTTTGTATTTTTCAGTAGCGACGGGGTTTCACCATATTGGCCAGTCTGGTCTTGAACTCCTGACCTTATGATCCACCCGCCTCAGCCTCCCAAAGTGCTGGGATTGCAGGTGTGAGCCACCGTGCCTGGCCAAGTCACACAACTTCTGCTCCTTGACTTCCTCATCCACAAAACAGGCTCGTTCCTGTGGCGGACATCCGCTGTGGTCTGAGGACCCTCTGCAGCTCTCACAGGTCACAGAGTACATCTCTACATACTGACGCGGCAAGGGCTCCAGGCACCAGTAGCCAACTGGGAAAGCCAACTTACGTGATGACAGATACAGAGCAATGCCATTTAATTTACAACATATGCGCACACCCATGCACACACACACCTGATTTACAACACACACACACAGGCACACGCGCTCACACACAAATAAAACTACAGACTCTGGCCGAGTGCAGTGGCTCGCTCCTGTAATGCCAGCACTTTGTGAGGCTGAGGGGGGTGGATCACCTGAGGTCAGGAGTTTAAGACCAGCCTGGCCAACATGGTAAAACCCCATCTCTACTAAAAATACAAAAATTAGCCAGACATGATGGTGGATGCCTGTAATCCCAGCTACTCGGGAGGCTGAAGCAGGAGAATCACTTGAACCCAGGAGGCAGAGGTTACAGTGAGCCATGATCGCACCACTGCACTCCAGCCTGGGCGACAGAGCGATACTCCATCTCAAAAATAAATAAAATAAGCTAGGTGTGGCAGAGCGCACCCAGAAGGCTTCCACCACCCTGGCTGGAGTGCAGCGGTGCAATCACGGCTCACTGCAGCCTCAGCCTCCTGGGCTCAAGCGATCTTCCTGCTTCAGCTTCCCAAGTAGCTGGGACCACAGGCACGTGCCACCAATTCTTGTTTCTTGTAGAGATGGGGTTCTGCCATGTTGCTCAGGCTGGTCTCGAATTCGTGGTCTCAAGCCATCCACAGGCCTTAGAAAACTATGAATTCATATGTCAGCACACATGGGGAAACGTCTGGCAAATACGCAGACAGCAAACAAAACAGTGAATACACCAGGAGGGGCAGGACTGAAGGGTATTGATCAAGATAGACTTGAATTGTATTGGTAATGCTTTAAGCTTTATGAAAGTGTTCAAGAATTACTGTGTGAATACTTACCTGGCAGGGGAGATGCCGTGATCACGAAGGTGGTTTTCCCAGGGGGAGCTTGTCCATTGCACTCCGGATGTGCTGACCCCTGTGATTTCCCCAAATGTGGGAAACTCGACTGCATAATTTGTAGTAGTGGGGGACTGTGGTCCCGCTTTCCCCTGAAGAAAAAAAGAAAAGAATTACTGTGTGATTTTAAAGAAATAAAATTTAAAATAGCATCCTTCTTGCAAGGGTGTGGGAGAATCACACCCTCAGAGCCTGATGAGGGCCGCACCTTTGGCCCTCACTCCTGTCTCCCCAGCATCTCCACTCCAGGTCATTTATTCATTCAACAAGCATGTGCTGCTGCCTCCTCTGTGCTGGCCTCAAGCTGGACCCTGGGTCAGAGACGACTCCGAGGCGGGCCCTGGCCTGGAGAGGCATGCAGCCCAGCAGGCAGCTGCAGTGAGGGCTGGACAAGGGGAACCTCGCATCCAGCCCTGGGCACTGGGGACCACTTCAGCAGTGCTGCCTCAGTGCTTGGAGATGCCCAAAGATCCCGCAATAGTGCTCCTCATGCCACACACTCATGAATGTCTTCTTCAAAAGAGAAAGTGTGTCAGACCAAAATGAATTAGCTACACGGTGAAATCCAGAGCAGAACCGAGAACAGGCCCTAGAACCTGGTATCCCAGCAATGAGGAGATGACAGAAGACAGGCAGCCTGGAGGACTCCTCCGAACACCTGCGGCACTCGAGCAGGGCCTGGGCTCCCGGCCAGAGCTGCAGACCCCCGCTGCCCTTTCGGGCCTCCCCAGACCAGCGTCCAGCCCCTTCCCAATGACTTTTCCCAAGCCTGCCTCTGAGCCCAAATGCCCCGGTGTCTCTAAGCCAGCCAAGTGTGTCCACAATCACTCATCCCTGTGGGCACCTTCAGCAAACACTCCCAGAAGCCCCGCTCTGGGCCTGGCCCTAGGGTGCAGCCTCCAGCCACAAGCACAGTCCCGGGCTCCCCTTGGGTGCTGGCATGCCCCCCAGCTCTGGTCACCTTGGCCAGAAGATCCCCCACAAGGCCTGGGAGGAGTGTAAGTATGTCAGGCCCAGTGGAATGCAACCTCCAAGAGGGCGCCAGGAAAAACAAGTTCCAGGGCAAGCTCCCAGGAGGCCACACCTGCTGCCAGGGGCCTGCGGGCTCTGGAGCATCAGGGAAGAATTGCTCGCTGCAGACGGCAGCGCCAGGTGCACAGGCTCAGGCCCTGGAGAGCAGAGCTGTGGCAGCTGAGGTGGGGGAAGGCACAGAGCCCGGTTAGAGGGCAGAGGAGGAGGCCACCTGGGCAGGCCAGAGGGACACCAGCAATAGGGAGGGGGAGCCCAGGACTAGGGACGTCCTTGGCAGGTGGGAGGGAACCAGTGCTCTGGCCAGGGCCTGAGGCTGGGAAATAGGTCCCAGCTGAGGCCTGGCCCGGAAAAGTGAGTGTAGGAACTAGGCTGGAATCACAGGATCCCAGCAGACGCTCACTGGAGAACCGTGGACATCGGGCCCCTGAGGCTTCGCTGATGCACCCGTGGGAAAGCAGGGCTTGCAGGCAGCCTCAGTGGCTGTGGGAACCAGAGGAGGAAAGGCAGGAGCCCCCAGTGCCACACAGGGCGGTGCTGCTGCGTGCCAGCCTCTGTACTGAGCTCCAAGCAGGCCAGGGAGCAACCTTTCTCAGAACCCTGGCCAGGAAGCGTGGCTTCTGGGAGCCAGGCCGGTGGGCCTTGCCCCAAGGTGGACGCTGCTAACCCTTCTCCACCTGCCCCTGGGATCCCAGCCGGCATTCACAGACCAGGCACACGTCTGCTCAGTTCCTCTCACAGCAGCTTGCAGGTGGACAAGGTCATCCTCCCCACCTTTCATGATGAGGAAGTGAGGCTCTGACACAGGAGTTGACAAGTGTGGCCCAAGGACACACAGCTAGCATTCAGCAGAGCCCGCGTTCAGACCTGGGCAGGCCACCGGAAGCCAGAGTCCCAGCTCCTAGCACTCCACCATGTCGCCCACCCCAAAGCAGTGTGAGAATAGGAGCCCCCGCCCAGGGTCGGGCTGCCCACCCTCCACACCTCCCACCTCCCAGCCACTGACACTTCCTTGCCTAGACCTGTTGCCCACGTGGTGGTACAGATGGGCTGCCTGACATCACACGGCACCAGGCTCAAGTCAGATTCAGCCACGTAGCAATGTGTGACTGAGTCAGCGAACTCCACCTCCACGCCAAGCCTCGGTTTCCTCATCTGTAAAATGGGGTTGTAACGTCCACATCAGCGGGCTGTGTTGAGACAGCCTGAGAATGAATGAGGTGCCTCGTGCTCCTCAAGATACTACAATTTGAGACAGTGGGGTGTGTGTTGAGGGGATGGCGTCAGCCCTAAAATCAGAGCCAGGAAAACAGCCACTCAGCAGGCCTCCAGCCTGAGCCCTGGGCTCCCCAGAGAGCCTTGCATGCCCAGCCTACCCAAAGGGGTCTTCCCACAGAGGGAGAGGGGCCCTGTGCTCTCAGTGGCCTCCCCCATTGCTGGGGAGGCTCCAGGCCGTCAGGGCAGCTCTGGGGTCCACGCCCCCAACCCCAGTCCCAGAGCAGGAGGTGGTGGCTGGAGAAACAAGGCTGGCCTTGGCAGGCTCGGCTGCCCCACCCAGTTGTCTAGAAAATACCCAAATTTAGGACAGGCGTGGTGGCTCACACCTACAATCCCAGCACTTTGGGAGGCTGAGGCGGGTGGATCACGAGGTCAAGAGATGGAGACCGTCCTGGCCAACATGGTGAAACCCCGTCTCTGCTAAAAGTATAAAAATTAGCGGGGCGTGGTGGCGTGTGCCTGTAATCCCAGCTACTCAGGAGTCTGAAGCAGGAGAATCACCTGAACCCAGAAGGCGGAGGTTGCAGTGATCCGAGATCGCACCACTGCACTCCAGCCTGGTGACAGAGCAAGATTCCATCTCAAAACGAAAATAAAAGAAAATGCCCAAATTTTTGGTCACCTTTATGTCAGAAGGGACTGGGGCTCACTGAGTCTCCGCCAATGGCTTTGCCAGCACTGTGTCTGAGGGACATGGACTAAATCCTTTCTGCTGTCACTGCTGCTGATGCTGATGAATTGCAACTGGGCCAGTCACTGCCCCATCCACCAACTGCAGCAAATACCACCACCCACACGACGTTTAGTGAACACGCACCGCCTTGGTAATCAGAAAGAACAACAGGACGCTTTACAAACAATAAAGTAGTAGCCCCGGTCCAGCTGGGGCGGTGGGCAGCAGGTAAGATCGTGCTGGGGGCGGGGCTTGGGGAATTCCCGGTGAGGTCAGTGTCTAGGTGTCCAGGCCTGACCGCCCCAACCACAGGCACTGGCATTCTGCCCACAGCCCAGCCCGAGCCCTGAGGAACTCCACGCACTCCTCAGCCTCCCCTGCAGTGCCCTGCCCAGGGGCTGCGCAGGCCCCTTTGTCCCCATCTCAGCCCTTTGTCCCCGGTCCCCCACTGAGGCTGTGCAGAGGCTGCCTCCGCCAGGAAGGAAAAAGAGATTCTGCTTCCACCCTGCCCTGGTGTCCACGCGGCGTGAGTGGATCGAGCAGCACCCCACCGAGCCACGTGCCTCACCCCTCCGGCCCAGACCAACAGGTGCACGGGTGGCCTGTTTCCCCCACGTACAGAGGGGAGCTTGCAAAGCTGGGCATGGGGGGTGGTGATTGATGTTCTCCTGGGCAGGGCATTGAGGGTCATGGCCTCTAAGGGCCCCCCAGCCCTCTGCAGGCTGCGACCCGGCCTACCACAGGGCCCCCCAGGGAGCTGGCTGGCTGCACCCTGGTCCCCGCCGTGGGAGCTTGGATTCTCTAAGGGGCTTTCCCAAGAGCCTTAGAGGCCAGAGGCATTTGCATTGTATGAGGATTTGGGTTTCAAAAAGAGGAAGTGGGGCGTGCCAAATCAAACACCGCGCCGTGCCTGAAGCTTAAATTTCACAGTGCAGCCTTCACTGGCCAGCCCCACGGCAACTCAGGGAGAACGTGATAAGGGCTTGCAGATGAGGCCTTTGGTGACGGAGGCTCCAGGCACGGCCCTGCCTCCTGCTCTGTGCCCACAATTCCCATGGCCTTAACTGGGGCCTCAGCCCCTGTGCCTCTCAGCTGTGAGGCCCAGCACAGGCCCCGGGCACGGGGGTGGACAGGCGGATGGCCACTGGGAAGCCTGGCAGGTGCTTCCTGTCCCTGCCGGAAGACCACTGGCTATGAGGTCACTCTTGTGCTCTGGCCTGGTAGTGACGGCGCTGGCCGTGACCTGCTTCCCCTCAGGTGACTCACCTGCACCTTCTGCTCCTCTGGTCATCACTGAGTGTGACTCACCTTCAGCATCGGCTGAGCGAGGCCCAGAAGCTGAGCAACTCCATGGGGACCCGAGGTCAGGAGGCAAACCTGCGAGATAGCTCAGGCCTGTGACCCAGCACTTTGAGAGGCTGAGGCAGGAGGATCACTTGAGCCCAGGAGTTTGAAAACAGCTCGGGCAACATAGTGACACCAAAAAAATATTTAAAAAATAGCCAGGGCATGATAGCACACACCTGTGGACCCAGCTACTCAGGAGGCTGAGGTGGGAGGATCACCTGAGCCCAGGAGGTCAAGGTTGCAGCACAGCACCGCACTCCAGCCTGGGCAACAGAGGAAGACCCGGTCTCAAAAAGAAAAAGGAGGCCAGGCACGGTGGCTCACATCTGTAATCCCAGCACTTTGGGAGGCTGAGGTGGATGGATCACCTGGGGTCGGGGGTTCGAGACCAGCCTGATCAACATGGAGAAACCGTCTCTACTAAAAATACAAAATTAGCCAGGCGTGGTGGCACATGCCTATAATGCCAGCTACTCAGGAGGCTGAGGCAGGAGAATTGCTTGAACCCAGGAGGCCGAGGTTGCGGTGAGCCGAGATTACACCACTGCACTCCAGCCTGGGCAACAAGAGCAAAACTCTGTCTCAAAAAAAAGAAAAAGAAAAAAGTAGACAAACATGACTAGGGGCCATCCTGCAGAAACCTGGGGAGCTTCTGCGGCTGCCTCCTAGAGACCTTGCTCCTGCAGCCGGAATGTACTGCTGGGCTCCCAACTCTCAGCCCAGTGTCCTTTGGGATGGCCAGGCTCAGCCCGAGCTGAGGGGAGAGGG